TTTAAAACATTCTGGGGACTGGGCGCAGTGGCTCACACCTGTAATTCCAGCACTTTCGGAGGCTGAGGTGGGTAGATCATGAGGTCAAGAGATCAAGACCATCCTGGACAACATGGTGAAACCCCGTTTCTAATAAAAAATATACAAAAATTAGCTGGGCATGGTGGTGTGCATCTGTAGTCCTAGCTACCCGGCAGGCTAAGGCAGGAGAATTGCTTGAACCCAGGAGGCGGATGTTGCAGTGAGCTGAGATTGTACCACTGTACTCCAGCCTGGCGATACAGCGAGACTCTGTCTCAAAAAAAAAAAAAAAACAAATTCTGGGCCAGGCACGGTGGCTCATGCCTATAATCCCAGCACTTGGGAGGCTGAGGTGGGTGGATCACTTGAGCTCAGAAGTTTAAGACCAGCCTGGGCCTGGGCAACATGGTGAGACCCTGACTCCATATCCATAGACGTATGTGCGCGTGCGTGCACGTGCGCGCACGCACACACACACACGCACACACACACACACACACACACACACTGCACTAGCTGGGCATGGCTGCACACACCTGTGTTCCCATCTACTTTGGGAGGCTGAGATGGGAGAATCACTTACACCTGTGAGGTCAAGACTACAGTGAGCCACGATGGTGCCACCGCACTCCAGACTGGGCAGCAGAGTGAGATCCTTACCCTAAAAACTAACTTAAGGCCGGGCGTGGTGGCTCAAGCCTGTAATCCCAGCACTTTGGGAGGCCAAGGCAGGTGGATCATGAGGTCAAGAGATCGAGACCATCCTGGTCAACAAGGTGAAACCCCGTCTCTACTAAAAATACAAAAAATTAGCTGGGCATGGTGGCGCATACCTGTAATCCCAGCTACTCAGGAGGCTGAGGCAGGAGAATTGCCTGAATCTGGGAGGCGGAGGTTGCAGTGAGCCGGGATCACACCACTGCACTCCAGCCTGGGTAACAAGAGCGAAACTCCACCTCAAAAAAAAAAAAAAAAAAAAGCCAGGCACGGTGGCTCAAGCCTGTAATCCCAGCACTTTGGGAGGCCGAGGCGGGTGGATCACGAGGTCGAGAGATCGAGACCATCCTGGTCAACATGGTGAAACCCCGTCTCTACTAAAAATACAAAAAATTAGCTGGGCATGGTGGCGTGTGCCTGTAATCCCAGCTACTCAGTAGGCTGAGGCAGGAGAATTGCCTGAACCCAGGAAGCAGAGGTTGCGGTGAGCCGAGATCACGCCATTGCACTCCAGCCTGGGTAACAAGAGCGAAACTCCGTCTCAAAAAAAACAAACAAACAAACAAACAAACAAACAAAAAACTAACTTAAAATAAATAAATAAATAAATAAATAAATTAAAAAAACTAACTTAAAAAAAATTCTGGAGCAAGTATAGAAAATGCTATAACCTTTTAAATCTGGGTGAGGGTGGTGAGTACTTGGCTATCTGCTAATATTTTTATAAGTGTTTTATATTTTATGTGTTTCTATGTTTGAAATACCAAATTTAATTTTAAATTTTAAATTAAAATTAAAATTTTATATATTTCATGACGTCTTATCCGCTTACGTGCAAAGAGATGCTGTGTAGATTGAGAGTGTAATTCTTGGCATGGTACTTACCGAACACAGAGCATTGTCATCATCGTCATTCTGAGACAACGTCTTGCTGTGTTGCCCATGCTGGAGTACAGAGGCACAATCACAGCTCACTGCAGCCTCAACTTCTCAGGCTCAGGGGATTATCCCAGCTCTGCCTATAGAGCAGCTAGGACTACAGGAACTCACCACCATGCCCAGCTAATTTTCTGTATTTTTTTTGGTAGAGACAGGGTTTCGCCGTGTTACACAAGCTGGTCTCAAACTCCTGGGTTCAAGCAGTCTGCCTAACTCGGCCTCCCAAAGTGCTAGGGTTACAGGTGTAGCATTATTACTTATAATCCACACAATGAAATCCAGGTCATACTTAGAGCCCCATATAGTTTTTCATCAGTATCAAATTACCCTAAGTACTCAACAGTTTTCATTGGATTTGACTCTGAATGACTTTTAGCTGTTTAAATATGCTAAATCCAACCTCAAACCATAAAAGCCTCCTATCATAAAAAATATTTAATCAGAGCCAGGCATGGTGGCACATGCCAGTTGTACCAGCTACTTGGAGACTGAGGGAAAGATCACTTGAGTACAGGAGGCCAGCCTCGGCAATATGGTAAGAACTCATCTCTTAAAAAAAATTAATCAAATGTTGTTGCATGCTTTGAAGATAACTGTAAAAAGAAAATTTTGGGGCCAGGCACAATGGCTCACGCTTGTAATCCCAGCACTTTGGGAGGTTGGAGAGGGCAGGTAAATCACTTGAGGTCAGGAGTTCGAGACCAGCCTAGCCAACATGGCGAAACCCCATTTCTACCAGAAATACAAAATTAGCAGAGGGTGATGGCAGGTGCCTATAATCCCAATTACTTGGGAGTCTGAGGCAGGCGAATCACTGCATCCTGGGAGTCAGAGGTTGCAGTGAACTGAGATTGCGCCACTGCACTCTAGCCTAGGCGACAGAGCTAGACTATCTCAAAACAAAAAAACAGGTCCTTTGGCGGGGGTGCCGGAAACCCTGTGGGCCTGCACGGCGTTCTGCCTTTTCTACTCACCATCTGAAGTGAAGCTGCCACCAAAATGCAGATTTTCGTGAAAACCCTTACGGGGAAGACCATCACCCTCGAAGTTGAACCCTCAGATAAGATAGAAAATGTAAAGGCCACAATCCATGATAAGGAAAGAATTCCTCCTTGATCAGCAAAGACTGATCTTTGCTGGCAAGCAACTGGAAGATGGACGTACTTTGACTACAACATTCAAAAGGAGTCTACACTTCACCTGGTGTTGAGACCTCGTGGTGGTGCTAAGAAAAGGAAGAAGTCTTACACCACTCCCAAGAAGAATAAGCACAAGAGAAAGGTTAAGCTGGCTGTCCCGGAATACTATAAGGTGGATGAGAATAGTAAATTAGTCACCTTTGTCGAGAGTGCCCTTCTGATGAATGTGGTGCTGGAGTGTTTATGGCAAGCCACTTTGACAGACATTATTGTGGCAAATGTTGTCTGACTTACTGCTTCAACAAACCAGAAGACAACTATGAGTTAATAAAAGACAAGAACTAACAACAATCACAAAAAACAGTAAACAACAACAAAAGAGGAATTCTAAACAGCAGCATCGGTAGAATAATCTTAGAGCCTCTCCAAGTGGCTTTTAGAAAGGGAAGAACACTTACACAGTTGTCCATCAACGACAGAAAATCAGTCTTATTATGTTTAATTTCCCTATATTCGCAGTCACTCTAAAAGTTTAGTCAGTCTCCCTGACTTTATAGTATTTTCCCATTTATCAGTTCCATCTCCCTCCTGAGGTTACAAGTCTATTCAGCACAATACTGCACAGTGATTAAGATGATGATGCACTTTTCTAGCTGCTTAGGTTAAAGTCTGGCTCTAAGCGTCACTATACCTATGACCCTGGTTCAAGTTATTTAACCTTCCTGGTTTCCTTAACAATAATATGAGATTTTTTTTTGCTTTTTTTTTTTTTTTTTTTTTTGAGACAGAGTCTCACTCCGTTGCCCAGGCTGGAGTGCAGTGGCACAATCTCGGCTCACTGCAACCTCTGCCTCCCGGGTTCAAGCGATTCTTCTGCCTCAGCCTCCCAAGTAGCCGGGACTTCAGGCACACACCACCATGCTGGCTAATTTTTGTATTTTTAATAGAGATGGGGTTTCACCATGTTGGTCAGGCTAGTCTTGAACTCCTGACCTCATGATCCGCCTGCCTTGGCCTCACAAAGTGCTGGGATTACAGGCATATAAGCCAACGCACCCGACCAATATGGACTTTTTAAAAAAGCACTTAGTCCAGCACCCAAGACCACAAGTAAGATCACAATAAAAGCTTCTTTTTTTTTTTTTTGAGACAGGGTCCCACTGTCACCCAGGCTGAATAAAAGCTACTTCTGTCGCTGCTGCTATTGGTACTTTTATTATTATTAGCAAGAACTGTGTCTCTTATTTCTTTGCTATTGCCTCAGAAGACCTTACAAGTTCAGAGGTCAGCAAACTTTTTCTAAAGGGTCAGAAAACAAACAGTTTAGTCTTTCTAGGCCATAAGGTCCCTGTTGCAACTACTTTACTCTGCCCTTATCATCTGAAAGCAGCCACAGACTACACATAAATGAATGGTTGTAGCAGCATCCCAGTAAAATTTTATTTACAAAAACAGAAAGCAGGTCCAATTTGGCCTGTGAGCCAGATCCCTGACCTAGATGTCTGTATACGCTATTTGCAAGTGATCTACACATATTTACACGGACTATGCAATTGGTTGTTAGAATAAGAAGATACTATTCCTACATTTGGAAACAGGAATTAATTTTTTTTTCCTCTTCCCTGTTCTATTTCCTATAACTTACTTGGCAGCTCTGTAAGAACCCAGCAGACACAAAAACATGACAAGAATTCAGAGAATATGTCAAAGGATAAGAAAATTTTAGTACAGGCTTTAGTCCTTGATGGTTGACAAAGCCAATGGCTTGCCTAAAAGAATATTCTAAGGCAATCAAAACTATAAGGAAAAAGAAGCCAAGTTTTCTTTTCAGTCTTAATTTCTTTTCTGCCTCAATTATTTTCTGATTTGCTGTAGGGAAACAGTAATGAGGAAATCAGAGTATACTGCTGTTTCTCTAAACATGTTTATAACTGATTCATAAATCCCTCTCCAGTTCCACAGAAGCACTGTGAAAGTCACTGCTCATCTAGGCTCATCTAGGACAAGCCTTTACTTTATTCCTAACAGCAGCCTCCCTCTGGTAGAGCCCAGCCTTCCAGATTACCTCTGCCCCCACAGCCTCTCAGGCCCTGAGCTGCAGGGAAGACCCAGCACTGCCCTCTGTAGGTGAGAGGCGTGACAGCATAGACAGAGAACACCAAAACCCACGCCTGTGGGACTCACCTGCAGCTGGAGGCTCAGGGACCTGTGCTTCACAGCAGAGGCATGGAGGGCACAGCTCACACGGACCTGTCCTAGTCGCTGCCTCCACATGCTCCACCACACCCTGTGAAAGAGCAAGTCAAAGATGGAACCCATCAGAAGAAAGCCACTCAGAAAAGAGGAGCAGTTAGTGTGGGGCCTCAGACCCTCAGCTCTAGTCCTCTCCCTCATAGTGCCATCTGTAGATTCACTGCTGGGGGAAAAAAGGAAACAATTGAGAAAAAGTCCTAGAGCTGCCAATTAACGGTTGGAAACTTATGGTTCCTAAGGTCAGATCCGGCTTTAGACACCACAGACATGCTCTGTTCGGCCTATATAGTCTGGTTTGTTAAAAAAAAATACGTTATAGTCTTATCAGACGTGGCCAGGGAACAACAACAACAAAAACAGACAGAAAAAAATGTTATGGGCCAGGTGCGGTGGCTCACGCCTGTAATCACTGCACTTTGGGAGGCCAAGGCGGGCGACTGGCTGAGCTCAGGAGTTTGAAACCAGCCTGGACAACATGGTGAACCCTGTATCTACTAAAACACACACACACACACACAAAATTAGCCAGGCATGGCAGAGTGTGCACCATGTAGTCCCAGCTAGTTAGGAGGCTAAGGTGGAAGAATCGCTTAAACCTGTCAAGATTGCAGTGAGCTGAGATCACACCACTGCACTCCAGCCTGGGCAACAGAGCAAGACTTCATCTCAGAAAAACAAACAAACAAACAAGAGTTATTATCAACATTTGAAAATCAGGAGATTTCACAAAATAATCTGTAATAAAGTGGCTTTTAGATTTCTAGTCCGCTGTATCCTTTTCCTTCTTAGCTTCCTGGTCAGACTTTCATTTCAGTCTTGGTTTCTTTTCTACTAATTTTTAAATTTGTTCTAGGAAAATAGTCATGGGGAAATAAGAGTTTCCAACCTGTGCTTTACAGAAACACTCCTTTGCCTGGTCACTCTAACCCAGAAAGATTTCTATTAGACCATGCTCACCTGCAGCACTCTGCAAAACCTCAAGCTATCTTACACGATCACTTACCTTCTTTTTTTTTTTTTTTTTTTAAACATCACTCCCATGTAGTAGAATCACTTATCTTCTTACGCATTTAGGGAATCACACATTTCCTGAATATAGTCCCAGCACCAATACAGTACCAGGAATGTTTTGTTTATTTTTTTAGGTATATAAACTATTTATCAACAGACAAGGCCTACAGACTTATTTCTTCTTGGACACACCCATAGTACGCTGCAGTGGCCAGTAGTCTTGAACACGAAAGCCCCAGAAGTGGCACAGCCCTCTATGGGCCCAAATCTTCTTCAGTCGCTGCAGGTCTGCATGGAGCTTGTTGTCCAGACCATTGGCTAGGACCTGGCTATATTTTCCATCCTTTACACCCTTCTGTCTGTTCAAGAACCAGCCTGGGATCTTGTACTGGTATGAATTCTGCATAATGGTGATCACACATGCCATCTCATCCTCAGTGAGTTCTCCTGCCCTCTTGATGAGGTCAATGTCTGCTTTCCTCAACATCACATGAGTGTATTATCAACCACACCCTTAATGGCAGTGATGGCAAAGGCTATTTTCTGTTGCCCATTGATATTGGTGTTGAATACTTGCAAAATATGCTGGAACTTTTCAGGGATCACTAAAGACATGGCAGCAGCACAAGCGGCAGTGTGCAGGCCTCCTGTGGAAGCCATTTTTCTTTTGAGACAGAGTCTCACTCTGTTGCCCAGGCTGCACTTCAGTGGCACAATCTCAGCTCACTGCAACCTCTGCCTCCCTGGTTCAAGCAGTTCTCATGCCTTAGTCTCCCGAGTAGCTGGGATTACGGGTATGCACCACACCTGGCTAACTTTTCTATTTTTTTTTAGTAGAGATGGAGTTTCACCAAGATAAAGTTTCAGGCACTGCCAGGAACATTTTAAGCCCTCAATAAATAGGTTGGGCACTGCGGCTCATGCCTGTAATCCCAGCACTTTGGGAGGCCAAGGTGGGTAGATCACCTGAGGTCAGGAGTTCAAGACCAGCCTGGCCAACATGGTAAAACCCCGTCTTTACTAAAAATACAAAAAATTAGCTAGGCATGGTGGCATGCACCTGTAATCCCATTCACTCTGGAGGCTGAGGCAGGAGAATCACTCGAACCCAGGAAGTACAGGTTCTAGTCAGCAAAGATTACACCACGGTACTCTAGCCTGGGTGACAGAGTATTTATTTGAGACAAAGTCTCAAATACGCTGCCCAGCCTATTTATTTGAGACTTTGTCTCAAATAAATGTACGTTGAGAAAATGAATTATTTATATAAAAGTATCGCTCAGACTCAAGTAAAACTGCATACTAATTAGGCATTTTGAGATACTTGCTAAATACATTTTAAGTAACAATTTTAATTAATTAATTTTTTTTTTTTTTTTGAGACAGAGTCTCGCTCTGTCACCCAGGCTGGAGGGCAGTAGCATGATCTCTGCTGACTGCAACCTCCACCTCCCAGGTTCCAGTAATCTCTGCTTCAGCCTCCTAAGCATCTGGGATTACAGGCGCCTGCCACCACACCCAGCTAACTTTTTTTATTTTTAGTATAGATGGGGTTTCACCATCTAGGCCAGGCTAGTCTTGAACTCCTGACCTTGTGATCCACCTGCCTTGGCCTACCAAAGTGCTGGGATTACAGGTGTGAACCACTGCACCTGACCTAATTATTTATTTTAAAAAATTGTTTCGTGTGTAGAGACAGGGTCTTGGCTTTGTTGCCCAGGCTGGTCTCAAACTCCTGCCCTCAAGCAATCCTCCCACCTTAGGTCCCCAAATTTTGTGATTACAGGTTTGAGCTACTGTACTCTGCCTATCTTATTTCTACTTAAATAACTTCTTTATATCCACTGCTGTTCTGGACACTGTTAAGTACTTTAAAGATATTCCTTTATTTCTTCCTGATGACAAACCTACAACTATGGTGTAACTATTTCACAGATGAGGAAAATAAGAGCTGAAGAGATGAAATGACCCAATAATACAGGTTGGAAGAGGGATTCAAACCCAAGTCAGCACAGCTGCAAAGCCCCTGCTATTATCCATACTTTGTTCAATACCCAACTCTTTCAGGCAGGAAGTGAGCTCTTAATATCCTACCATTCAGGACACCAGTGGACCACTACAGACAAAATACAGTGCAATCTGTCCCATTATAATGCAGCTCACTGTTACACAGTTGGTTATAAAAGTGGACTAACTCATGTTCCTCAGTATGTCTACAATGCTGATGGGATGCAATGCAGAACAGCAGTTAAGAGCATGGGTGGGTGAGCCTAGTTTTGCCAGTTAAAACCTGTATGTGCTAGGCAGGTTACTCAACCTCTCTGAGCCTCATTGTACATCTTAATCTTAAATCATAAGTACAGTCATGGTACTTATAATTTACAGTGAGGGTTAAAGAAGATACTTTATGAAATTAACACATGCACACACAAACTTAATATAGGGTTTAGAACATAGTACTCAATTAGTGTTAATTATGATTATGTAAAAATCTGATCTTATAGTTGAACAAGTTATCAATAATTCTTTATTGGGCATCAACTATGTTCAAAGTTGCCTATGATCCTAGCACTTTGGGAGGCTGAGGTGGGCAGATCGCTCGGGCCCACAAATTCAAGAGCAGCCTGGGAAACATGATAAAACCCTGCCTCTACAAAACAAAATGAAAAAAGGGAATTAGCTGGACATAGTGGTGCAAGCCTGTAGTCCCAGCTACTAAGGAGGCTGAGGCAGGAAGAACTGTTTGAGCTTGGGAGGTGGAAGTTGTAGTGAGCTGCAACTGTGCCGCTACACTCTAGCCTGGGTGACAGAGAAAGACCCTATTTCAAAAAAAAACAAAAACAAAAACCATTGTTTTAAGGTAGCTTTTTATGCTGCTTTCCAGCACCATAAAGCTGATGAGGTAAAATGATGGCTACTAATTTGTAGGACAGCTGAGGAGACTCACCATAAGATATTCCGTTGCCTAAACTCCAGAGCTGTAGTCTGCATCTGAAGTTTGGTCCTACGAAAAACCACGTAGATCAACCAAGACTTCCAGGCTTGTCGCATCTTTTGCTTTGCATCTAGATTCACCAAAGAGATTTTCAAAAGGCATAGGAAGAGATGGATTACTCCAGGTTATGATAAAACCTCAAGGGCTTTCTTTCCTTTGATTATTTAAATCCCTCCAACCTCCAAGCACCCCCTGCTGGAAAAGTTGTGAAGCACTACACAATTAATTAGGGTGCAAGAACACGTGAAGACTTTGAGCAAATAATGACTTTTACAAAGCATTTAAAGAAAAATCAACGTACTGACTGCTCATAAACCTTTTGCTTTAAAAGCACTTATTTTTTCTTCTTCTTTGTTTTGAACACATTTAATAGCTGCTGTTCTAGCAAAGCACTTATTTTTATAGATATACTCTGCAATTTTTAGATGAAATAATGTGAATAAATAGGCAGCAAAGAAGTAGAGAGATGGATCTCACAATAATGGCACGAGTAGATAATCAAAGCTGGGTAATGGATACATGGAGGTTCATTATTCTATTAAACATCTTTCAGGCTGGGCTTGGTGGTTCACGCTTGTAATCCCAACACTCTGGGAGGCTGAGACTGGCAGATCACCTGAGGTCAGGAGAGACCAGCCTGACCAACCTGGTGAAACCTATGTCTACTAAAAGTACAAAAATTAGCTGGGTGTGATGGCGTGCACCTGTAGTCCCAGCCACTCAGGAGGCTGAGGCAGGAGAATTGCTCAAACCTGGAAGGCAGAGGTTGCAGAGAGCCGAGATTGTGCCATTGCACTCCAGCCTGCGCAACAGAGTGAGACTCTGTCTCAAAAAAAAAAAAAAAAAAAAAAAAAAAGAGAGACCTTTCAATTTTTGTAGATATTTAAAGTTTTCCACATTACAAAGTTAAAGAAGAAGAAACCACGATATAAAACTTGCTGTTTGACTCCAAGCTCACGTTTTAGTAAAGAGGAAAAAAAAAAACTTGCTGTTTGAAACAATAAACGTAAAAGTGAATAAGCAAGATAAAGGGAAATAATATATACGTTGAGGAAACAATAAAATGCCTCGTAATGGCCCGGTGCGGTGGCTCAAGCCTGTAATCCCAGCACTTTGGGGGGCCGAGGCGGTGGATCATGAGGTCAAGAGATCGAGGCCATCCTGGTCAACATGGTGAAACCCCGTCTCTACTAAAAATACAAAAAAGTAGCTGGGCATGGTGGCACATGCCTGTAATCCCAGCTACTCAGGAGGCTGAGGCAGGAGAATTGCCTGAACCCAGGAGGCGGAGGTTGAGGTGAGCAGAGATTGCGCCATTGCACTCCAGCCTGGGTAACAAGAGCAAAACTCCGTCTAAAAAAAAAAAAAAAAAAAAAAAAAAAAAAAAAAAAAGCCTAGTAATGATCCTGGAGAAAAGATAATTTACGAGATATGGAAGATGCAAAGACATGCAGGTCTCTCCTTGTTGTAAATTCTGTTTTCATTATGAAAGTCACTACTAATGAAGTAAATGTCTTATCTTTTTAGAAGACAAAGGAGAAAATAAAATTATATCAATCATTTTTAGGACAACCTCCAAGATGTAGTCAATAGGACTGTCACTACACTTTATATTTCACAGCTGTTGACAAATCAAAATATGAAAGAGAATTTAACATGTATCTTGCTTGGTTTCACACTGGATATCAGGAATTAGCACACTTCAGGTAATGAGAACTACTGTGGTGCTGTGGTTTAGAATTTGGGAGATCCTGAGTAAGGCAAGGCAGACTTACTGGCTCTTTCACTTATTACATAAGTAATCTCATACAAGTTCCTCATCTGTAAAATGGTACCTTTCTCAGAGATATGTTTGAAAAGTGTATATGAGATTATGTATCTATGAAAATTTTCTAAAATAAACACTATCTGCTCTTTCCAGAATATGGAACATAGGAATCTCATTAACTGTCTCTGCTATGATTCTAATGCACATGACAGTTTGAGACCCATGCTTCCTTAAGGCTTCCAAGTACTTGCAAACTTTTTATTTAACAGTGCAAGAGTGAAAGGACACTCCCTGAGGTCTATGGACATGGCCTGACATAACTAGTTATATGTCAGAAATAACTTGCCTCTTGAGTAGCTGGGACTGCAGGTGTGCACCACCACAACTGGCTAATTTTGTATTTTTTTTTTTTTTTTTTTTTTTTTAGAGATGAGGTTTTTGCCATGTTGCCTAAGCTGGTCTTGAACTCCTGGCCTCAAGTGAATCCTCCCACCTTGGCCTCCCAAAGTGCTGGGATTACAGGTGTGAGCCACTGTGCCTGGATAACTCTTTTTATCTTAAACCTCCAAATGACTTTTTCCTTCTATTCCACAATACATAGCTAGAGTCACTGTAACTATGGATAATATGAGACAGCAGAATGTACATTCTTCAAGTAAATACAGAACATTTACAAGATAGAGCCAAGCTATTTGGGGCCACAAAACAAACCTTAACAAAATTAAAGGAAGTGAAATGATATTGAGTCTTGTTCTCTAACCATAATGGAATAAACTAGAAATCCTTAATAGAAAGATACAGGGAAAATCCCAAATATTACAAACCTAAACATACTTCTAAATAATCTATGGAGCAAAGAGGTCTCAGGGAAAATCAGAAAACAAATATTTTACTGAATGGAAACAGAAGCGTAACTTACTAAAATTTCTGTAATGTAGTTAGTGTTTAAGAGAACTTTATAGCAGTAAACGTCTCTACTAAAAATACAAAAAAGAAATTAGCTGGGTGTGGTGGCAGGCACCTATAATTCCAGCTACTCAGGAGGCTGGTGCAGGAAAATCACTTGAACCCGGGAGGCAGAGGTTGCAGTGAATCGAGCTTGCACCACTCTGCACTCCATCCTGAGTGACAGAGAGAGATTCTGTCTGAAAAAGAAAAAATGAAAAGCCTGGCTATGGAGGCTGATGCCTGTAATCCCAGCACTTTGGGAGGCCGAGGCAGGCAGATCATGAGGTCAGAATATCAAGATCATCCTGGGATAAACCTCTAGCCAGACTAAGCAAGAATAAAAGACCAAAGACATAAATTACCAACATCAAGGAATGAAAGGGGGCGACGGCTACAGAATCTGAAGAAATCAAATCATAATTATGAAATATTTAGCCAGGCATGGTGGCTCATGCCTATAATCCCAATACTTTGGGAAGCCAAGGCAGTGGATCACCTGAGGTCAGGAGTTTGATACCAGCCTGGCCAACACAGTGAAACCCTATCTTTACTAAAACTACAAAATTAGCCAGGCATGGTGGCAGGCGCCTGTAATTCCAACTACTTGGGAGGCTGAAGCAAGAGAATCACTTGAACTAGGGAGGCAGAAATTGCAAGAAAAAATAAATGAGGGAGATTAATGAAGAGGTACTTATAACACTCTGGAAAAAAAGATGAGGATTACTCTCAGGCAGTAGCAATGCAAAGATGATTGCAAGTGATGCTCAGAGGGCCATCTTAAAAGATTAGGTAACCAATGACACAAGGCTTGAGGAATGGATGCCATTACTAAGGAAAAGGCAAAGGAACAGCAGGTCTAAGTTGTAGGGGAGTTGACAGGTTGTACTTGTATCTTGCAGAGTTTGAGGCATCTTTAGGACATTCTACTGCGAATCCAGTCTGTGTTATCATTTTGAAACTCTATGTCTTTTTCCTTAGACTCTCCATATGGGTTTCTGGGATCAATTCACAGAGAAACCAGACTTTAACCAGAGCTAAAGTGACTTTAACCTATCACTAAGGGACAACTTGGGAAAGTAGATTTAAAAAAAGCACTGCAAGCCGGGCGCGGTGGCTCAAGCCTGTAATCCCAGCACTTTGGGAGGCTGAGGCGGGTGGATCACGAGGTCGAGAGATCGAGACCATCCTGGTCAACATGGTGAAACCCCGTCTCTACTAAAAATACAAAAAAATAGCTGGGCATGGTGGCGCGTGCCTGTAATCCCAGCTACTCAGGAGGCTGAGGCAGGAGAACTGCTTGAACCCAGGAGGCGGAGGCTGAGCCGAGATCGCGCCATTGCACTCCAGCCTGGGTAACAAGAGCGAAACTCCGTCTCAAAAAAAAAAAAAGCACTGCAGCTCTGCTCCAGACTCTCCAGGCAACTTGACACAGCAAGACAGACCGCAGACCCAGGTGCCATTGGGGAGTCACAGCCAGCACACTGAGCCAGCAGGCCAGGAACAGCCAGTTCATACAAATTCTGATTAAATGAGCTTTATGGGCTCCAACCATGCCATACTGAGAAAACCATAGGGATCCAATCCTAAGGTGTCCACTCAGAGATCACACTTTCTGAAAAATTATGAAAGAGAACCAAACAAATCTTCCTTAGATCTAGAGTTATTCTAGGTCTAAGATTCTACTCTAAGATTATGAAAGAAAATCAAACAAATCTTCCTTAGACCTAGAGTTATTCTATCTCGAAGACAATGTGTTTGTCCTTCCTAAGACCTTCTGCAAAGTAAATATGGGCATCTTCTTTAGACATGTACTTCTTTTTCTCACCATGAACCTCGGCTCTAATGTACTTGCTCCTCATCTCCTGCTGCTGACGCACATAGGTCTTCCAGGTCTGGAACATCAGGTTGTACAGGTAATACCTGAGGAGCCAAAAAAGCAAATGGCATTTCTTTAAAACAAAACAACAAGCCAGGTGTGGTGGTTCATGTCTGTAATCCTAGCACTTGGATCACTCGAGGTCAGGAGTTCAAGACTAGCCTGGCCCATATGGTGAAACCCCACCTCTACTAAAAATGCAAGAATTAAGCTGGACGCAGTGGCTCACACCTGTAATCCCAGCACTTTAGGAGGCCAAGGTGAGTGGATCACGAGGTCAAAAGATTGAGATCATCCTGGCCAACATGGTGAAACCCTGTCTCTACTAAAAATACGAAAATTAGCCAGGTATGGTGGTGCGCACCTGTAGTCCCAGCTACTTGGGAGGCTGAGGCAGGAGAATCACTTGAACCCAGGAGGCAGAGGTTGCAGTGAGCCGAGATCACACCACTGCACTTTAGCCCAGCGACAGAGTGAAACTACTTCTAAAAAAAAATTAGCTAGGTGTGGTGGCACACACCTGTAATCCCAGCTACTTGGGAGGTTGAGGCAAGAGAATCACTTGAACCCAGGAGGTGAAGGTTGCAGTGAGCCATGATCACCTGTCACTGCACTCCAGTCTGGGCAACAGAGCAAGACGCTGTCTCAGAAAAACAACCACCACCACCAAACAATAACAACAATAAAACAACTCATAACCCAACACACCAAGTCTGTTCTATACTCAGAAGAAATTAACAGGAATGCCTCAAGGGAAAAAAAAAAAAAAAAAAAAGCAATCCATATCTGCACCAAAGCTAAAATTTCATTTCCTACAATCACAATGAACTCTATTTTCCTTGAAGAAGAGTCATTCTCCATACCTTGAAGTGTCACTGAGCAAGAAAAGTCTTGACTTTTCCAAGAATAAGTTAACTTTCATCATCCAAAAATCCCTAATGTTTGGGCCAGGTGCAGTAGCTCATACCCGTAATCTCAGCACTTTGGGAAGCCGAGGTGGGTGGATCAAATGGGGTTGGGAGTTCGAGACCAGCCTAGTCGACATGAAACCCTGTCTCTATTAAAAATATAAAAATTAGCCATGCGTGGTGGCACGTGGCTATAGTCTCAGTTACTCAAGAGGCTGAGGCAGGAGGGAGGCTGAGATAGGCGAATTGTTTGGACCTGGGAAGTAGAGGTTGCAGTAAGCCAAGATTGTTCCACTGCACTCCAGCCTGGGTGACAGCAAGACTCTGCCTCAAATTAAAAAAGAAAAATCCATGATGTTTGTCTTTTTCTTTTTTTAGATAGGGTCTTACTGTCACCCAGGCTGGAGTGCAGTCATGTGAACACAGCTCAATGCAGCCTTGAGCCTTCCCTGGGCTCAGGTGCTCCTCCCACCTTGGCCTCCCAAGTAGCTGGGACTACAGGCACCCACCACCTCACCTCGCTAATTTTTGTATTTTTTTGTAGAGAGGGGATTTTGCCATGTTGCCTAGGCTGGTCTCCAACTCCTGGGCTCAAGTGATTCTCTTGCCTCAGCCTTCCAAAGTGCTACGATTACAGGTGTGAACAACCATGGCTGGCCAACAGTCACATCTTAATTATCTTAACTATCCACACTATAAAAAACATCACTTCTCGGCCAGGCATGGTGGCTCACACTTGTAATCACAGCACTTTAGGAGGCCAAGGCTGGAGGATCAGGAGGTCAAAGTTTGAGAACAGCCTTGCCAACATGGGAAACTCCCATCTCTTCTAAAAATCCAAAAAATTAGCTGGGCGTGGTAGCATGCACCTGTAATCCCAGCTACTCTGGAGGCTGAGGCAGGAGAATCGCCTGAACCCAGGAAGTGGAGGCTGTAATGAGTGCAGATCACATCACTGTACTACAGCCTGGGCGACAAAGCAAGGCTCTGTCCCCACCCCCCCAAAAAAAAAAAATCACTTCTCTTTTGCACTACATGGTCACTGATACCTTTTCCTTCCTGATACACACACCATACATCTTATGATCTTCATCTCTTCATAGTTTACTTTTTAAAAAAAAATTTTTTAACGTTCATTTTAAAAAACTTTTTTTTTTAGGACACAGTCTCACTCTGTCACCCAGGCTGCAGTGCAGTGGTATGATCTTGGCCCACTACAACCTCTAACTCCTGAGTTCAAGAGATTCTCCTGCCTCAGCCTCATGAGTGGCTGGGACTATAGGCACACACCACCATGCCCAGCTAACTTTTTTTGGGGGGGACAAAGTTTGACCCTGTCTCCCTGGCTAGAGTGCAGTGGTGCAATCTCAGCTCACTGCAACCTCCATCTTCAGGTTCAAGCAATTCTCCTGTCTCAACCGCCCAAGTAGCGGGGACTACAAATGCATGCTGCCAAGCCTGGCAAATTTTTTGTGTGTTTTAGTTGAGATGGGGTCTCACCATGTTGCACAGGCTGGAATTTTTGTATTTTTATTTTATCTTTTATTTCATTGATTGATTGAGATAGAGTCTTGCTCTTGTTGCCCAAGCTGGAGTGTAATGGCATCATCTCAGCTCACTGCAACCTCCACCTGCCAGGTTCAAGTGATTTTCCTGCCTCAGCCTCCCGAATAGCTAGGGTTACAGGCATGCACACCACCACATCCGGCTAATTTTGTGGGTTTCTCCATGTTTATTGGGCTGGTCTCAAACTCCTGACCTCAGGTGATCCACCCACCTCAGCCTCCCAAAATGATGGGATTACAGGTATGAGCCACTGCACCTGGCTCAGGTGGCCCGACCTCAGGTAATCCACCTGCTATCTGCTTATCAGAAGAACTCAGCACGTCTCTATTTTTTCTGAAATAGCCATAAATCAGAACTTTACCTCCAAAGAACCTAAATAAAGACATAACTACATTAAGAGTGAATACCATTTTAAATATACGATCTACAAGAAATGACATTCAGGTTTAAAAAAAAGGTCTGAAAATGTGTATTTGATATAAAAATTCTCAATTGTTACTTTCCCCTTTACTTATCCCCGGGAATGTGAATGTCAAGGGGTAAGAGGTTTTTTTTCTTTCTTTTTTCTGAGACAGGGTCTAGCTGTGTTACCCAGGCTGGAGTGTAGTGGCACAATCTCAGCACCACTACACCCCACTGATTTTTTGTACTTTTTGGTAGAGATGGGATTACATCATGTTGCTGAGGCTGGTCTCAAACTCTTGTGCTTAAGAGATCTACCTGCTTTGGAATCCCAAAGTACTAGGATTACAAGCATGAGTCACTGCATCTGGCCTCTATTTTCTTAATGTTCTATTTTGGGCATATGTTTTCTCCCATAAACAATATAAATTAAAACAATTTATTACTTTAAAAACAGGGTGAGGCATGGTGGCTCACACCTGTAATCCCAGCACTTTAGGAGGCTGAGGCGAGCAGACCACTTGAGATGAGGAGACCAGCCTGACCAACATGGAGAAACCACGTCTCTACTAAAAATACAAAATTAGCTAGGCATGGTGGCACATGCCTGTAATCTCAGCTGCTTGGGAGGCTGAGGCAGGAGAACTGCCTGAACCCATGAGGCAGAGACTGCAGTGAGCCAAGATCGCACCACTGCACTCCAGGCTCAGCAACAAGAGCAAAAGTCTGTCTCAAAAAAAAAAAAAAAAAAAAAAAAGAAAACCCAATCCTTTCAGAATTAGAAATTACATAGAAGTGAGAATGGGTGGGAAAAACCCATTCAAACTATTAGCATAACCAACACAGAAAGGTTACCTCAATTAGAGGGGTGGGGGCGGGGTGTGTGTGTGTGTGTGTGTGTGTGTGTGTGTTCGTTCACGTGCCCAGCATGTGCATGTATGCTTGGGTTTAATTTGGGACTTCAATCTTGCTAAACTTTGGATCACTCTGTGTTTCTTCAAATCCTCTAAAAAAGATGTGAAGAAACACAAAGAGTGATCCAAAGTTTACTCATTTGACCATAAACATGCCAACAAGTAGTCATCTGATAATGTGCCTCAGTAAAACTGAAGGAGTGTAACATGAAATCTGACCTGTAGCGACAGTCAGCTCGAACACAGAGTTTCCACTCATGATGGAAAACCCACCACTCTTCTTTCCATTCTTTGAAGACCTTCCGCAGTAATTGCTGCTTATAGTAAAATCTAGGGGAATTAAAAAAAAATCAGAGAATTATATACAGTGATGTTGGAGCTAATGTCTATTCCCAAATCACAGTTTCACATTGTTGTTGCCTTCTCATAAAAACATAAACACCGGCCGGGCGCGGTGGCTCAAGCCTGTAATCCCACCACTTTGGGAGGCTGAGGCGGGTGGATCACAAGGTCAAAAGATCGAGACCATCCTGGTCAACATGGTGAAACCCCATCTTTGCTAAAAATACAAAACATTAGCTGGGCATGGTGGCGCGTGCCTGTAATCCCAGCTACTCAGGAGGCTGAGGCAGGAGAATTGCCTGAACCCAGGAGGCAGAGGTTGCGGTGAGCCGAGATCGCGCCATTGCACTCCAGCCTGGGCAACAACAGTGAAACTCCGTCTCAAAAAAAAACCATAAACACCAAGATACATTAAAAATGGAGGCCAGGCATGGTGGCTCATGCCTGTAATCCCAACACTGAGAGGTCGCAAGGAGTCTGAGACCAGCCTGGGCAACATAGCAAGACTCCATCTAGGGCTGAGTACAGTGGCTTATGCCTGTAATCCCAGCACTTTGGGAGGCTGAGACAGGTGGATTTCAAGACCAGGCTGGGTGACATGGTGAAACTCAATCTCTACAAAAAAATAAAGAATTAGCCAGGCATAGTCGGGGCATGCTATTGTAGTCCCAGCTACCTGGGAAGTTGAGGTGGGAGGATCTCTTGAGCCCAGGAGGCAGAGGTTACAGTGAACCGAGATCGTGCCACTCCACTCCAGTCTGGGCGACAGAGTAAGAACCTGTCTCAAATACATTTAAAAAAAAAAAAAAAAAAAAAAAAAAAAAGCCGGGTGCAGTCACTCATGCGTGTAATCCCAGCACTTTGGGAAGCCAAGGCAGGTGGATTACCTGAGGTCAGGTGTTTGTGACCAGCCTGGCCAACGTGGCGAAATCCCATCTCTACTAATACAAAAGTTAGCCAGGCGTGATGGTGTGCATTTGTAATCCCAGCTACTTGGGAGGCCAAGGCAAGAGAATCGCCTGAACCCAGGAGGCAGAGGTTGCAGTGAGCCAAGATCGCACTACTGTACTCCAGCCCGGGTGACAGAGCAAGACTTCTGTCTCAAAAAAAAAAAGTAAAAATAAAATAATAAAATTTAAAAAATAAGACTCCATATCTACCAAAAAATAAAAAAATAAAGTTTATGATGATGTCTTACTCTATTACCCAAGCTGGTCTTGAAATCTTGGGCTCAAGTGATCCTCCCACCTGAGCCTCCCAAAGTGCTGGGATTACAGACATGAGCCACTGTACTCAGCTCTACAAAAATTTTTTTTTAATTAGCCAAGCATGCTGGCATGTACCTGTGGTCCCTGCTATTTTAGAGGCTTAGGTGGATGGATCACTTGAGCCTCAGAAGTCAAGACCCTATCTCTTAAACAATCAAAAAAACATAAATTGGCTTTTTCAGATCAGAATCTCAGAGCTACTTAAACTAGAAATGAGGCAAAAGTTTTTCTAATATTGATTTTACGGATTAAAAATGTTAAAGTAAAATAAAAATCTGATAATTTTTTTGGAGACAGAGTCTCGCTCCGTCGCCCAGGCTGAAGTGGTGCGGTCATGGCTCACTGCAGCCTTGACCTCCTAGTCTCAAGTGATCCTTTCATCTCAGCCTCCAAAGTAGCTGTGACTACGGACATGCTCTGCTACTATGCCTGGCTAATTTTTAATTTTTTTGTAGAGACAGGATTTCATTATGTTACCCTAGCTAGTCTTGAACTCCTGGGCTCAGGTGATCCTCCTGCCTTGGTCTACCAAAATCTCACTTTTCAAATACCATAAAGTGAACTGAAAATTACTATTTTTGTTTTCATTCACCAGAATGAAAAATATTTTTATTACTAAAAAGTAGTAATATCTTATTTACAAATATATGAATTTAAAGTTATAAAATAAGTGAATGCCTAACAATATTCCTAGTACTTAACAAGAACATACAGGATATTAATTTAGCTGAAATCTGAAGAGGGGAATTGTAACAACAGCAAAAGATGAGTAAGGGAAAGCAGTGAGAAAAAAGGTAGTAAGGAACACAGAAGAGCAGTCACAGATGGTGTTGATTTTTTTCTTTTTTGAGACAGTCTTGCTCTTTCACCCAAGCTGGAATACAGTGGCACAATCTCTGCTCACTGCAATCTCCACCTCCTGGATTCAAGTTATTCTCGTGCCTCAGTCTCTCAAGTAGCTATGACTCCAGGGGCACATCACCTGGCCCAGATAAATTTTGCATTTCAGTAGAGATGGGGTTTCACCATGTTACCCAGGCTGGTCTTGAACTCCTGAGCCCCATCTGCCCAACTTGGCCTCCCAAAGTGCTAGGATTACAAGTGTGAGCCACCATGCTGGCCTATCAATCACTTTGAATTTCTTATCATGGTTCTGCAGGTTACTAAAATGTCATTCCTCCAAACCCACTCAGTTTTGTTTTTTTTTTTTCTTTGAGACGGAGTCTTGCTTTGCTCCAGGATAGAGTGCAGTGGCACAATCTAGGCTCACCACAATCTCCACCTCCCAGGTTCAAGTGATCCTCCTGCCTCAGCCTCCCAGGTAGCTGGGATTACAGGTGCGTACCACCACACCCAGCTAATTTTTGCATTTTTTTTTTTTTTTTTTTTTAAAGATGGGGTTTCACCATGTTGGTCAGGCTGGTCTTGAAGTCCCAACCTCAGGTGATCTTCCCACCTTGGCCTCCAAAGTGCTTGGATTATAGGCGTGGGCCACCACGCCCGGCCCAATTTTTGTATTTTTAGTAGAGATGTGGTTTCACCATGTTGGCCAGGATAGTCTCAATCTCCTTACCTCATGATCTGCCTGCCTTGTCCTCCCTAAGTGCTGGGATTACAGGCATGAGCCATCTCACCTGGCCCAAGCTATTCTCCTGCCTCTGCCTCCTGAGTAGCTGGGACTACAGGTGGCTAATTTTTGTACTTTTAGTAAAGAAGAGGTTTCACCATGTTGGCCAGGCTGTTCTCAAACTCCTGAGCTTGGGTCCACTGGCCTCAGACTCCCAAAGTGCTGGGATTACAGGCACTGACTCCATTTACAGTTTTTGAAAACTAGCTTACAAAGATATATATAAGGGAATTCATTTCACTATCGCTTATAATAGTAACAAGAGAGAGTGAAACATCACAAACACCCATCAAAAGAGGACAGGTTAACACAATTCCATCAATGCCATGCACTCATTTTCTACTAATGAAGCAGAGCTAAGGGTACTAAAGTGGATAGATGCTTCAGAAAGTGGCTAGGTGAAAAAATAAAGTCACTGCACTGCGTGGTATATATAATATCTTTTTTAAAAAAATTAGGTCAAGGCCGGGCGCAGTGGCTCAAGCCTGAAATCCCAGCACTTTGGGAGGCCGAGGCAGGTCGATCACAAGGTCAAGAGATCGAGACCATCCTGGTCAACATGGTGAAACCCCATCTCTATTAAAAATACAAAAAATTAGGCCGGGCGCGGTGGCTCAAGCCTGTAATCCCAGCACTTTGGGAGGCCGAGGCGGGTGGATCACGAGGTCAAGAGATCGAGACCAACCTGGCCAACATGATGAAACCCCGTCTCTACTAAAAATAGAAAAAATTAGCTGGGCATGGTGGCGCGTGCCTATAATCCCAGCTACTTAGGAGGCTGAGGCAGGAGAATTGCCTGAACCCAGGAGGCGGAGGTTGCGGTGAGCCGAGATCGCACCATTGCACTCCAGCCTGGGTAACGAGAGCGAAACTCCGTCTCAAAAAAAAAAAAAAAAATTAGCTGGGCATGGTAGCGCGTGCCTGTAATCTCAGCTACTCAGGAGGCTGAGGCAGGAGAATTGCCTGAACCCAGGAGGCGGAGGTTGCGGTGAGCCGAAATTGCGCCAGTGCACTCCAGCCTGGGTAACAAGAGCAAAACTCCGTCTCAAAAAAAAAAAAAAAATTAGGCCAGGCACAGTGGCTCACGCCTATAATCCCGGCACTTTGAAAGGCCAACGTGGGCAAATCACCTGAGGTCAGGTGAGACCAGCCTGGCCAACATGGTGAAACCCCATCTCTACCAAAAATACAAAAATTAGTCAGGCATGGTGATGCATGCCTATAGTCTCAGCTACTTGGGAGGCTGATGCACAAAAATTGCTTGAACCCAAGAGATGGAGGTTGCAATGAGCTGAGATCAGGCCAATGCACTTCAGCCTGGGTAACAGAGAGAGACTTCGCCTCAAAATAAATAAATAAATAATTCTTTAAAATAGTATTTTAATTTATTTTTTTGAGATGGTGTTTCACTCTTGTCACCCAGGCTGGAGTGCAATGGTGTGATCTCAGCTCACTGCAACCTCCGCTTCCCAGGTTCAAACGGTTTTCCTGCCTCAACCTCCCTGGGATTACAGGTATACACCACCAGGCCCACCTAATATTTTGTATTTTTAGTAGAGACAAGGTTTCACCATGTTGGCCAGGCTGGTCTTGAACTCCTGACCTCAGGTGATCCACCTGCCTAGGCTTTTCAAAGTGCTGGGATTACAGACATAGGCCACTGCATCTGGCCTATTTTTATGTATTTGCAGCACACATGTTGGAATACATCAAATATATATATACACACAAATATATACAATTTGTGTACATATAAACAAGCATGTGTATATACACACATAAATGATTATATCATACATATTAAAAGCCTGGAAAGAGTTCCAGAATATCAAACTACTGCCAGTGGTTCTCTCTCAGGGAGGGATTATAGGAGACTGTCATTTTTAAACTGTACATTTCTGTAATTGAAAAATTTTTGAGCAGATTTGTTCCCAATTTTTTCTTTTTTGAAGATGGGAGTTTTGGTCTTGTTGCCCAAGCTGGAGCGCAATGGCTCGATCTCGGCTCACCACAACTTCCACCTCCCGGCTTCAAGCGATTCTCCTGCCTCAGCCTCCTAAGTAGCTGGGATTACAGGCATGTGCCACTACACC